AGTATAAATTTTCTTGAGGGAGGAATACTTGGCTCTGGTGTGGAGATGAGGTTCTCTGCGGTTGGAGCTATCTGGTGAACTTGTCTGTCTTTCCTCATGAGTGACAGTGACAGGCTTTGTGGCAGCTGCCAGAGCTTTCCTGCCAGTCGCATGCACCGAGCATCTGACATGTTGGCAGACAGCAGATTCTTGGATGCGTGTCTGAACCTCTACAGGTCTGCTTTTGGCAGGAGTGAGTGTGGCCCTTATCCTTCACCCATTAAGCTATCGTTATGGCTTTCTTATCTTCATTTCTTCTGCAAACATGCCTTTGAAAGTGTTTGGCTCTTTTTTGGCAGTTTATTTGATAATGTGCAAGGGTAGAAAGCATGTGTGTTATGTCTTAATTACATTGTATGTCTTCAAAGGAAAAAGAGGAGAATTAAGTGAAAATTTGTCATAATATGTTGAGAGCTCTTGGGCACCCATTTTGATTATTGACATGGGATTCTCCCCTAGTAGTCTTAGTCAGAATCCCCTGTGAAAACATACTGTCTCTGTTTAGCCCAGAGGAAGGTGTTTTCCTCTCTAAGCCTGACATATTGCATATCATAAACTTTTTCTCATCTCCGTAAATTGTGTGACTGTGTCCAGACATACACATCGTTTATTAGAGGGAAACTGGAATCCTCTTGTATGTGGACTTCAGTGTATTGGGTGAGTTCCCTAGCCAAGGCTGAAGAGGCATATTTAAGGAAAGGTAGTTGTGTGTGATTGCCATATATGGAGTCCTTTCCAAGCCCAGATCTGATTTGCTCTATGTTGGAACTGGCCTTAGCTGCTAAGAGCATAACTGAGACCCTGCAGTAGATAATGTTTAACAGTTATCTCGTCTGTAACAAGACTGCATCTGCACTCCTTCCACTCAGATATGATAGCCAAGTTAATTTGTGGACTTCCATCATACAAAACATTCATGTAGAACAAGTTACTTATTATGCATTGGGTTTTGATTATGTTTGAAGCACCCATAGTGTTTTTAAATTCTGCAAACGAAATAGGCACTATGAAAATAGGTTTCAGATGTGGGAAACTATTCCCTGCGGGCTGAAGGCTCAGACCACCCTGTGCTGGATTCAGGTAGTGCAGTCACCAGCAAGGCACGTGGCCTGACATGGGGTCCAGAGGTCCAGGGCGGGTTTTGTGTGATTAGATGTTTTCCCTGCCAGAGATACCTTCCCCGCTCCCATAAAAACAGGGGAGGGAGGGCCGGCAGGTGACTTGGTAGATAAGGGCACTGGAATCCCAGATGGCCAACCATGGTTCAAGTCCTGGACCTGGTGGCATGCTTTCTTGCTTTTCCTCTCTCTCTGTCTCTCTGTGGTCAAGTTAAAATATAACAACAACAATGGTAGAGATCGAAACATTGGAGGGCATAAAAGCAGTGAACATAGTTACGTATGATGAAGACAGAGTGGAATGGGATGGGGAGAAGGAAAGAGTATTGAGAAGGATAGCAAGAGAATAAATAGTCATGACATTAGTGGGACACAGAAATGGTTTGTTACCTGTTGGTGATAGCATGTATAGTATTCTCGACTGCACTGGTCTGAGAAATATTTCATGTTGAGTACATTCTTTTTACAAGCCAAATGATAGTGATTGAATATTTTTAAAAAATGGTGAGAATAATAATCATCATCATCTGGGGAAAAAGTGATGAAAAGCTATTTTATGATGTGCTAGTCACGACTTTGTCTTCACGGTGTGCATGGTATACCTGCTGGAAAAAGAAATGTAA